AAATGATCAAATATTTTTCCTAAGTTGGTTATAAGTTAAAGATTGACGTAATATAAAATAAGAAATAATTATAAATTTATAATCAATTTATAAAGGTATTTGTAGTATTTTCATAATATTAAGGTTTTTCAAAAATACTTCTAAAAAATTAATCAAATAAATGAGGGTGAATGAAAAATAGGGAGAGTAAAGGAAATAAAAGAAATGAAGGGGAGTGAGGGAGGAAAATAAAAGAAGAAAAAGTTAGTAGGGAACGGAAATTACATGTAATAAATAAACAAAAATAAAAAAATAAAAAACATACCTTAGTAGTTGCAAAGAAGAACCGAAAGACCTAAAAAGAATGAAATACAAAATGTAATAAATGAAATATTAAGAATTGAATGAAAAATAACTAAGAAAAAGAAACGACCATATAGTGCTGGTCATATCTTAATTGCAAAATTGAAAGAGCCAAAGGACCTAAAAAAAATGAGATAAAGTTAGTAAGAACAAAATTGCAAGAAGCAAAAATGAAAAAAAAGAAAGAAAACGTATCTTGAGTGCCGTACAAAGGAGTGAAAAGGACCTAAAGAAAAAAAGATTATCCAAGTACGTTTAAAAAGTTTAAAAAAAAAAATAAATAATGAGGTGATATCATATAGGTTAGGTGAAAAATTGTTAAATCGCCCAAGGTGAAAATTAGTTATCAGTCACTGGAAATGTCTCAAAAAAAGAAGGCAAATTTTATTCATTAATGTTGACAAAAAAAATTTTGCAATATAATACTCTCATTAAATATATAGTATATGTATATAATTAAAGTTGGCCAAAATTAATTAAATTGGATTTAATCATATGGGCCGATCCGACTCATTTCATTAATTAATAATCAGGTGATATAATTGAGGAATATATATGAAATTTGTGAAGATCTGCAAATAAAATAAACTTAGATAAGCTTTCTACAAAAAAACAATATGGTGGGGAATCGTCGGGAATCGTTTTCCTATTGGATGTTGTAAATATGTGACATATTAAAGTTAGTATAATGTGCTCTATTTTTATAACATTATTTGCACATTATTACGTTTATTAAGGCATTTTAAACAGCAGTTTACGCTGTAAAACTTTTTTTAAATATATTAATAGGTTTATTTTTATTTTTTAGGCATTATTGTTTAATAATTATTGTAATTATTGTATATTATATGTATTTATATAATAAACAGCATATTTTTAAGGGTTATTCTTTATTTTTGATGGTATTTTATAATGGTTTTATTACATAAAAGAAGCGTTCAAAATATTTTTTTGATTTTTTTTTCGCTTGTTACACTAAATTCAATTGGTTCAATATTGTCACACTTATTCTCATGTGACATTTGGTTGGTGAGTCGGATTAGCCCATATGTTTGCAAATCAATAATTCGTCGGTTTAAATTTTTTAAAAAAATTAAACTTATTGACCACTTCTACAATCTTATTAAAAAAAATATTCATATACTCTTTATTATTCAACTTGGATCTTTGCTTAAAGTTAATGTATTGTTTATATTAAAAATAAAAAAAAATAAAGGATCGGAAATCAGTACTATTACGAATAATGCCAATTTCTCCATGAGTATAAATCAAAAATTTGTTAAAATTAATATATAAGTAGATTCGACCTTGCCGAACATCTTTCACTTAATTCACAAGGGCGAATTACTTAGAACCAAAGTGTTAAATTTACGCCCTGAAGTTACAGATTGGGTGTATAAAACATAAACAATAATTGCTCCATATGTGTTGATTAAAAATTCGCGAAAATCGAGATATAAGTAGTTTCGACCTTGCTGAACAATATTTACTTAATTTACAATAGCGATTCACTTAAGACCAAAGTGCCAAAATTGCGCCCTAAGGTTATTGATCGGGTGTAAAAAATTCAAAGATCGAAAATTAGTATCGTTACAATAAATGCCAATTGCGCCATGAGTGTAAAATAAAAATTCATGAAAATTGATAAACATGTAGTCTCGTCCTTGCTGAACAATTTTCACTTATTTTACAAAGTCGATTTACTTAGGACTAAAATGCTGAAAATATGCTCTGAAGTTGCTAAACGAAATTTAAAATTAGTTTTATTACAAAAATTAAAATAGCTATGCAAGTATTAATTAAAAACTTACAAAATTTGAGTTTCCAGTAGTTTCGACCTTGCTGAACAATTATCACTTAATACATAAAATTGATTTACTTATAGCCAAAGTACTAAAATTACGCCATAAAATTTGTATATATTTCTAAAGATATTACAAATTTGTATTTTTTTATTTTATGCAAAAACTATCTGAATAACCACCATTATAAGCTTAGAAAATCTTTTTCTACCCGTAAAATTACATATATTTTTGCTTTTAAATATGAATATTTCTTTATATTTCAACTTAGATCTTGAAAAAAGTGTGTTTTTTAAGTGAGTTTTTTGTGGGATATAAAAAAAAAATTTATTATTAAAAATCCGAAAGTAAGGATAGAAATAAGTATAGTACACTTAAAATTCATGTCTAACTATTAAATAAAGTAATCTGATTAATGTTACACAAAATTCGTTTAATATGAAAATGATCTGCATACGACATTTCCAGTGACTGTTATAATCTTCCGAATTTCATTCTACACTCAAACATCAAATCATTATTGCCGTTTTCAAAATTACTGACAAATTTTGATTTGCGAGGTTTGATATATGATTTTTCGTATAACAAAAGTAAATCACATTTTTACGCGAATTTTTAATATTTTCATGTCAAATTTTTTTTGTGAATCATTAAATTCGAAACAAAATGAGTATCAGTGCAAAATTTCAGCATATATTTCATATAAAAATTTTGGACTTTTACTATGTTAATATTATTTATTGCAATTACGTTGTGCCAAGTAACTGTTTATCAGGCTTACGTAATAGGTATTTTTTATACAACTTAGTAACTGGTTGTACTAACATAAATCACCAATTAGTAAATGCCTGTTGCAAAATGAGGAAATTAGTTACTTTATTGGAAATTTGGATATTCATGAGCATATTTTTGTATTATATCCTTTATAATTATAATAATTATTTCCTTAATTGCCGATCCGCCTAAAATCGGCACTGCGTTACTAATAAAATTCGGGGTTAAATTTGCCAATTTTGTGCTAGAACACAAACTTCAAAAAAGGATATCTCATAGATGACATATTGACTATAAAAAAAAATCATATGATATACTGAAAAAATACTTGAAAAAAACGAATTTGCAAAAAAAAAGTTATACATTCGTATGCAAAATAATGAGTTTACTATGCGCGCACGTCAGATTTACACTTTAAAATATACGAAATTTCAATATTTCATTTTACTATATTGCATTATTTACAATAAAAACCTATAATTTTTAGCTTCTAAAGTTGTTTTTAAAAGCTTTTTTGAAATATTTTTATTATTAAAAACAAGTGAAAGTTGAAGAAAACCAGTTACAGAAATATAATTATAAAATTTTTTGGCAAATATGACTTGTCATAAAATGAAAGAAAATATTGTTTTTATGATATTTCTGTTTGTAAAATGGGTGAAACTTATTTCGCGCGTGAGATGCAAAAAATTCTTTTTTTTATTATCGCTATTATCCCCGAATTTTATTAGTAATGCAGTGCCGTTTTTAGGCAGATCGGCAATTAAGGGAATAAAATTTGTGTGTTAAATAATGAATTAATATCTACGTAATTTCATTAATTGATAATTCTTTTTAATGAGGTTCTTCATGAGCTTAAAATTCATATCACATTAAATAATGTCAAATTTTATTATTATGAAAAGTAAATCATTTATTTATCTTATTATAAAATTATAAAATGTTAATTGCGTAATTTAGTATCTTTTAATTTATTTAATAGTAATCCTGGATAGTATTTATTATTAAATGTTGTTTCATTTTCCATAAATAACTAAAATATTTAAAACACTTAATTATTATATAGTATATCAACTTATTTTTAATAACTTGAAATACTTCATAATCATTCGCATTGAAATTGAATAAGTATGTGGTTTACATACCCAGTTAGTATCATTATTATAACACACTAAGTCATGGCCACCACCAAATGTTGGCCCATAACTGCAGTTTGGAGGTTATTTCAATCTGCAAATGAGAAAATAAAACTATCTTTTGTTGATTTATAACCATTCGTCAGTTCCCAATCCAATGGATTATATCCTCCAACTATTTGTTTCGAATTTTCAATTTTTACTAAAATTATAGTAGATCTTTATTTATTTATTTAATTAATGTCAAGCAGGAAATCGCCTACTAAGGCTATTACAATTCCAAAGAAAAGAAAGAAGCACTATAAAAGGAAATTATCACCCAAGGTCGATCAAAGACCGAAGTCAGGCCTCACTTGTGTTTAAAAAGAAACCAATTTGGACCTTAACCCGTCCGATAAGGAACAACTAAAGCCGAATAAAAAATATAGACCCAATAAATCATCGTAACAAATAAAAATAATAAAAAAAATACTATAATAATCCTGTGACAGTTCAGTCAAAAAATAAAATTAATGATCCGTATTTTTCTTTCGACAAAAGTCGCCACCCGTAATACTGTCGTAAGTGGAATGATTCACACTATTCTAAATTGTTAAAAAGTAGTATAATAACGTGAGGTATATAAAAAATACAATAATAAGATGTAGAAAAACTACTCGAAAAAAGGTAATTGACTCCTAGTGTACAAATACTAATATATAAAAACGGATAATTAATATGAACTGTTTAAAGGTCCTGCTTCCAGGGAATAATCGGCAAGTGCTGGAGCAGGACGGAGCCGTTTGGGTTTGATCGAGCTATTATGTGAAGAGAGATTAAAATTGTAAGTAACATCACGTTTGTTGGGTCGAAGTTCAAGTTCTTTTGTATCATCGGAGGTGTTCGGATCATCTCATTGTCTGATGGATCTTTTGAATGAGTCGAGAAATTTGTTCATTTCATTACGTTATTTCTTTTGACGTTTGATGTTACCAGCGTTAATTGCTTTCTTTTCTGTAAATTTCACCATGTTCTCATGAAAAATATCAGCCGTAGAAGTTAGGCAATCTATTGCTACACAGCGGGTGTCAAGACGTTTAACACTTGTTCCTAAGAGGGCAGCCTCTTCCTTTCTAGCTTTAGCAATCGTATCGCGTTCAATGTTGTCTTGCTGTTGACAATGGTCAATTTGTAGTATTTCTTGCCTCCGCCTATCGGGCGAGTTTCTTCTCCAGTTCTGACATATAGGTGAACCATTCTTGGATTCCTGGTATGATAAAAGTTCCATTCTTGGCGTATATTGGATCTGGCGGTATAATATTACAGTATTTGTGGGGATAAACATATCTGGGATAGGGTTATACGGTTCTACAGTATACAGAATAGACGTCGAAAATGTAGGGTTGATTGGCGTGGTAGATTCTTCTATCGAATCAACTTCAATTTCAGGAGGAGCAACTGGTATCGGACGATTGTGTACAAAGTATGGAACCAAAAATCGGTAATCGTTCGCGTCAGATATTGTATGTGCTTGTTTGTATTTTAAATTTTAAATATTTGATGGGTTTGTTGATGAACTGTGATTTGAGAAATAAAAAACGATACTCGCAATGGCAAGATTATCCGCCATTGTACGTGTACGTTCTGGCTGCGGTTTTGTTATGTTGAAGATACGTCTACATGAACGTTGAAATCGTTTTTCCTTGTACGAGTATTAGCACTAAGAGCATATTTGAAGTTGAAAAGTCTCTTCCGGTACATATGTCTATTACCTAATCTTAAGATCGAATTGGCATCCCGAGCGTGAAGTGTTTCACTATAGGTTGTACCCAACCTGTTGGAGAAAATGCTTTTAGTACGGACCGCCATCGGCGATATAAGAGATTGACATTTATCGTTGACAAATCTGTGGTATCTTTAGTCTTCTTGTCATTTTTAGGTTTAATATCTTTGAAGGCTTTGAACTTTAATAAGTTTCGTTGATGATGGATGCAGCCGTGTCGTTTATGTGACATAATGAAGATTTTACTATATTGTTGTAATGGGGAGGGATATAATCTTGTTGTTTATCCAAGCAAGGAATATAAATTCCGAAATAAAAACGGTATCTTTTGTAGGTGAAATTAAAAAAAAGTTCTTGTGATAATATTTTGTTGGTCGTTCTTACGAGCACGTGATACTATAATCGATCCAATAATTTGTCTCTGATCATCTTAAAATATTTTGCTGAATACGTCGAGGGATGACTCTTTGTAAGGATGTGAGCATACAGAGCATACAGCTGATTTGGTATTTGTTGTTCAGAAAGAGTTCATCGGAATCCTGATCGACCAGCAAGCTCAAAGAAGTAACTTCTTGATCGGCAAAATTTCATATATCTTGTTATAACCGGCTCGGTTTGGTTTGATCACGAGGAATTTATTCAGGGAGACCTGAAAGGAGTTTTTCGAAAAAATTTTGTAGGTGAAGGGTTTAGTAGTGACATGTTCAAGTGTTTTAGTGTAAAGGAAAGTATAAAAGTTATATTTTTATAAATGTAAAGTGTATGGCAATGTAGGGGAGCAAGTAGAAATAAAAAAAAACTCGTTCAATACAAAAGTTTGTTGAAATATTACGTTGAGGGTCGATATGAAGACGTTATCTTGATGGATGTATAATTTTATTAAAAGTAAAAATTTTTACAATATGTATATACTAAAAATATGGAATGAAGTGTTAAATATTCGCGAGTTGTTTGTGTTTTAAAGTTTGACGATAGCTAGTAATAAAAGTCTATTTCGTAATATAAAAAATTTTCTACTGCGTCATTTTAAGAATTTTAAGATACATAGATTATGAAATGCTGCAGCTGTATCACCATCTCTACTAGCATGATAAAGCAAATAAGAATCACTTTTCTTTTCGACCCAGCTAGCAAAAATAACAAAATGTTGAGACTAACTATAATTGAATCATATTATTTCGATTTTTTATATCCCCTTGATGGTAATGAACTAATAATTTTTGTGCCAGGTACTAAATAAAATTGCATGATTTCCTTCATTAATTTTATTGGTAGTAAATCCTGATAAGGATATACTTTGAAATAGTAATCAACAGAAGAAATATCTTGAAATCTAATCAATGGAATTAATCTATGTGTAGTTTGTTTCATTACTTCAATATCATCATTGGTCCATTTCTCAGGATCTTGATTAACATTAGGATTTTGAGCGCATGACCATCTAATAAAGTTACTCCAAATTTCACTTTCATCTAATTTAATTTTTTCTTTGAGAATGAGTTCAATCATTTGGGATGATAATCTTAAAAAGGTATTTTTTCCAAACAATAATTCTGGAGTTTCACAAATTATTTGTAAACAATAATTTTGTATAGGCTCAAAATTCTCACAATTAAAAGTATTATCAAGAAATTTAATGATTAAAAATTCTTGAATATGCTTAACAAGTGATTCCAATTCAAATTCATTTGCTGCCGTTAATAATAATGTCAAAATATCTAAAGATTCAACACTTAAATCAATCTTACCACAATATAAAAATCTATTATTAAATTATTTTATTTAGCTTAGTTTTTTACATAATTTAAGTTATCAAGTTTAAAAATTATTTTGAAATAAATTACCTGAAGATATTTTCTAAAATTTTGGGTGAAATATTAGATATATTAAAAATGAACTTTCCGTCCTTCTTTTCCTTTAAATTAGAACGAAAATAATTTGATTGACGGCAGAGAATTATGGAATGAGCGTAAATTTCTTGTACATTTGGTTCTTCTCCCACTTGTATAATAACGTCATAATTCTCTTTACTTTTAAAAAGTTGTTCATAATTTTTCGTAAGTTCTAATTTTGATGCCATTATCCTATAAATTTGGATTTAAAATTTTTTTTTATAAAAAAAGTGTTTTTAAAAATTTGTTTTTTTAAAAAAGTGTTTTTAAAAATTTTTTTTTTTTTTAAAAAAAAAAATAATAAATAAACTTTAATTTATATAGTAATTACTTTTCATTTAATTTGACCAAAAATGCAGAACAGGTTTGTTCAATTCTAGTAAGTAGTAACGTCGGATATTCCGCTGTGTAATTTTCAGAGTTCATCACTACCGATTAAATATATGGCGCAATAGAATTAGAGGTTGGAACCGGTTAAATTGCACCCCATTTGACCGATTGACAAAGGTTCTAACCTTACATTTCATGTCTCAAGTGTCTAGGTTAGTTATATTTTTTGTCGATCGGTCGAATGGGGTGTTAATTAACCGGCTATTAGCCGGTTAAGGCTTTTTGGACCGGTTCTAACCTCTAATAGATTCACTTTTTTTCTGTAAAGAAATCGTCTAAATAAACTTACTACTATTCCCCTGATAAATAAAAGCTTCTGCTATTCTTTTACCAAATGGTAATAATAATTTTAAGAATCCTAAATATGTATTTTTTTCAAAGTCATATATATTTATTTCCTAAAACTTTACAATTTTAAAAAGAACAATTTTCTAAATACTTAATAATATTTTATTATTTACTTTGAAATACTTTATTATTTATTTATGAATTCAAAAACACAATTTTACAATTAATTTACAAATTCGATAATATATTTTTTCGATGTCGGACAAAATCAGCCGACGATCGCCTTAATTTATAATATTTTTTTTTTCAATGAGAGGAAAAGAATAAATCATTAAATATGGAAAATTTTCCTATTAATATGAATAAGATTTTTTATTTTATTGTTTTAATTAAAGAATTAACAAAACTGCAGTCCATCAGTTGTTTATTAGTCTACTTTTATGAGAACGATATAAAATAAACTTTAATTGGTACCATACGTCCATACGTAAAGTACACTCATAAGCAAAAATAAAAAGTAAATTGAAACTTCGGTTCATGATAGAACTAATAAGGGAATGCCGATAAAAAAAATTTAATAAAGTTTTTTATTACCTACAGTAGATTACCTAATGCCTTATGCCTACCAATACTGTACCAAAGATATATTAAAATCTTATTTTTTTGATCGTTGCCATATCCATGTAATCAAAACGAAGTCGAATTAGCGAAAAAAAAATACGATAAGAATATAACGAACGATGTAATAAACTAATTCCCCGGATACCATATTATTAAATTATCTATATTAATTTATTTTTCTATTTCAAATATTTACAAAAATTATATACAACTCAAAAAAATAACTGGAAATGAAACAAAACAAAATCAGCATAACTTTTCAAAAAAAACAACGATATACAATATAAACAAATGTGTACCATATCCAAATTAGGAACTTATACGTAAATACTTAAGCGAGTACCTTGAGCGTTAGGCACCATATATATGATTTAAATCTAGAAAAATTTAGTAAGAAAAGAAATTATTTAACATACGAAACTCACAAATTAAATCATATTTTAATTTAAAAACTTTTTTACAGAAACTTCAAGATCGTAGCGATGGCTTAATGCGCAGTAACTGCATATATGTAATTTCTTTACTATGTATTTATAACGCAGTTACTGCGCATTAAGCCATCGCTACGATCTTGAAGTTTCTGTAAAGTTGTTAGATAAATTAATCATATGTAAAAATGGAACAAATCTGTTAATCCTGATCCGATGACTAAACAATAATGAGATGGAAGTTTGATTTTTATTGAGAACGATTTTTAGAATCAAGAAAAATCTTTAATGCATGACCTAATAACAAATTAAGACAATGTTATTATTCAATTTTTTATTGTATCAAGAATGAAACAGTAATGATTCATTTACAATAGACTATTTATAGGCATAAATGATCGTCGTTTTAATAAAAAATAATCAATAAATTAAGTTAATTATCATGATTATTGGTGAATGAAAAAACTGTTATGACCGTTTCAATGTATCATGAGAACAAAATAAGAATTCGGAATATTTTTTTTCCGTACAAGATAAATAATTTATTTGTCATCCAACTATTCGACGAATCTACTATCAATTCGATTTTACGAATGTTCTTAATAAAAATAATTTCAATATCCTTTTATTTTTTTGTAGTGGCTGCGTAAAATACTTTTTGAGGCTTTGTATATAATATACTATTTGAAGATTTTTATTATTACAATAAATTTTCATTATTGCATGCTTTTGCGTAGAATGTAAAAGTCTCCGCCCCGCTTCGGACAATTAGCAATTAACAACCTTTTTATTTCTATTAATAATTATTATTGACTATTTTTTTATAAAAGACTAATATAGAATTTCTAATAAATAAATATGAATAAAAATCGGTACTTAAATCGCTATCAATGTCCAAATTATCCAAAATGATTTTTTCAGAAAGAAATTGCTTATAAATCATATTAAATCTCATGAAATTAATGAGTATAATGAGACTTTTTATTTGCAAAAAAAGAAAATTTATATTTAGAAATTATATAGTTTTCAATTTGTCAGAGGATCTATTATATTGCGAGGATAGAATTCGTATCTATTAATATATATATATATATTTAAAATAGATTAGTAAAATCACAGTATATTTAAACCGATATATATCAATCATCGTAAAATTTAATGGGTGTCAAATATTGCTTAATTATATCGTCCAATCCAAATAATCTATTACACAACATTGGCAACCAATGATCATTTCGTTAGTAAATTTTTTTAACAGGGAATATTTTTTTTTGATAGAGAATTTCGGTAAAGATTTTTTTTTAATAGGAGGAAGTTTTTTTTGATATAGAAATTCTTTTGAGAATTTTTTTTAATAGGGAAAATATGTTTTTTGACGGAAGATTTTCGTTAGAAATTTTTCTTTAATCGGGGATATTTTTTTGATTGAGAATTTCATTAGAGAATTGTTGGTTGAAAAGTTTTTTTTATTTTTTGATGGAGATTTTGTTTAGAAGTCTTAATAGTTTTTTTAATAAGGGTATCGAGAATTTTGGCTTTTTAATAATAAAGAATTTCATTATTACATTATTTGAAATTTGTGATAAATTTACTGGAAATAGTACATGTGCCAACTTCGACCAGTGGATATTATATATAGTTTAATGATGAAATGAAATATGGCCATCAGCACGTGATTTATATTAATTTGCGGATTATGCCAAACCCGACGACAAAAGCAATCACGTGACATTTGTCGTGATATTTATTTATTTATTTAATTTTGTTTTGTGAAACATTATTTACATTATTTGTATCATTTGATCAAGCTTATGGTTGGTACAAAACAATCAAATTTAACAAATTAGCCGGAGTTTCTGTATTCTATAAATAGTCCGATTTTTTTATCATTTTGGTTTTTTTTTTTTGTATTAATTTTCTTTTGTATTAATACTTTGGAAAATTATCCTTGAAAATACTTCGGTTATATAGAGTTTATTTTATTTTAAACCATTTTTATTAAAATGTCAAAACTCAACAAAGATATTCTTTTCTTAATATTTGAGGAATTACGAGAAGATTCGAAATCTCTCTTTTCATGTCTAATGGTTAATAGACTTTGGTGCGAAACTGCGATACCAATTTTATGGAGGAATCCCTGGTGCTACAATGGTATTAATTACAGTAACAAAATCTCTTTATTCATAATCATTTCTCAATATTTATTTGACGATATCAAAGAATTCATAACAAATCAAGAAATCCAATTACCTTCAAATCTATCACTCTTGTTTGATTATTTTTCTTACTGTAGAAGTATCAATATAAATATTATAAAGGAAATAATTTCTATTGGTTCAGATTTAAATTATAATCAATTTAATATGCAACAAAAATTTTACTCTCTCTTTATGAAAAAATGTTTAGAATTGAAGTATTTTGATATGAGATCGATTAAACACCAAATATTTCAATTTCCAGAAGCCATGGTTCGATTTGAATTACTTTGTGAATTAAAATGTGATACATCCATTGATCCTTTCTATTTTTACGGATTATCACAATTCTGTCAATATTTACAGAGACTTACCATTGTTAATGTTGACATAAAACCTAATCATGGGATTATTAAGTTAATTGAGGTTCAGAAGAACTTAAAGTATTTTCAATGGGATGATGATTTTGATGATGGGTATTTTACGGATAATGATCCTTACGAAAAAGTTCTTCTCGCGCTAGAAAAAAAAGCTGAAAGTCTCAATTGTTTAAGACTATTTGCCCAATATGTGGAAAATTATGAGCACACTTTACTGCAAGAAGTACTTCCAAAATTTTATAATATAAAAATATTAATAATTGATGGCTATCATTTTTTTAATGAAGAAAAATTGGAAACTTTAAAAATGCAAGCTTATCACGAACTTGAAATTCTTAATATAGAGGGTAATAGGTTAGATGTGATTTCTAGTATAATTGAAAATAGCGGAGCAAATCTCAAGAAAATTTTGTTCGAACCCTATAATATTGAATATGAATATGATGAATTTAATGAAAATTCTCTATATTTTATTCATAAAATTTATGAAAATTGTCCTTTGATTGAATATTTATCAATTGCGTTTTCGCCAACAAAGGCGCATTTTGTTGAACTTGAAAAACTACTAGAAGGTTGTAAAAATTTAAAGTCATTATTAATAGTTATATTAGATGATGATGGTACTTACTCTTTGAACAATGGAGAAGAATTATTAAGAGTATTAATTAGGTCAATGCCAACCAATTTAAAAGAAATTAGGTTCTGTCGTAAATTTAAATTTTCTTTAGAAAACTTGGAGGAATTCTTGGAAGAATGGAAAGGCAGACATGCACTTTCTATGTTTACTACTGGAAATGATATAGATGATGATTGTACAAAATTAATTAATGAATATAAAAGAGAAGGAGTAATCGAAAAGTTTGAAAATTTGGCTTATGTAGATTTTATTGGTTACATTGCAAATATTTGTTTCGGTTAGCACTAAAGTCGATCAAAAAATTATTCCGGAACATTAACGACATTCTGTGGAGGATACAATATTAAAGACTTCAATATTCTCAATTTTTAACAACGGTCATGAATTTTTAATGTAGTCTTCTTGAAAGTAATTGCTTTAAACAAATCGATATTAGTCAATAATTTAGATGGTATTGTTGCTAGTTAGAGTTTTGAGCTAATAAACTATTTTTTTTTTGTATTTATCATTATAAATAAATTTATATTCCTTTACCCATCATTATAATATAT